AGATGGGATCAATTGTGGCCTGGTAACATATCGACGATAGTAAATATTCTCCAGCCAAATGGTAATCGATTAAGAAAAATTTCTTAATTCTCGTAAATTACTTTGACACTTATTAAACATTTTTTTCGCTTCTAGGTCAAAGGCAAAATTTAGCTCATTTCGAAAATATCGATATGATAGTCGGTCCTTTAGTCTCCTTCGCCAACGGATTGATCGGTATATGCCTTGAACTAATTAACTATAAAAAAATGCAGTGCGCACAGTTTGAACTCGGCGACAAAGATATCAACTGGTTTTCAACCAACATCGTTCGAGGGGATCGGGATCATTTGTCAACACGAGCCATCTACAATTTGCCGAGAGGCGAAGGATTTCTGACTTACGTCAACATCAAAAAAGTATCATACAGTTATTTCCGAAGCGAGTGGGGCAAGTACCTTATAAAAATTGGTCTGGATGGAAAGCTCAAGGAATTTCTGGATCCCGATATGGGATGCTACATTGAGGGGGAAATGAGTTTCACTAACATTTTCGAAGACGATCAGGGCAATTATTGCCTGAGCATCGTCTGCGTGAAACCCTCTTTCAATGGTGGAGGTACTGGTGGAGGTTATGGTGCAGGATATGGGTACTTAGAATGGAGTGAAAATCAAACCGTCGATTCGAGTTTTATAAAATTGCACTCAAGGTGCTTCAAACCGGAAGAATTTAAAAATGTTTCGGAATACAAGATTAAATTCGACGAACATTATTCGTTATATGAACCGTAAATCGAAATAAATCCCTTCTCCTAGAATTAACTTGTTATTAGTTATTTTAGTGTTAAATTCAGAAAAACATTTTCAATTCGTACATATGTTTTATACCATTACATTTTTTTGTTACTCAGCTTACTTGACCGCATCTCGAAATAAATAAAAAAACGTTTCCAAACATATTAAAAAAGATCTTCCTCCTAAAAAATATGATTGTTCCTATCTTTATCTATAAAAAAGCTAGAACAAAAAAACGGAAAATTTTCATTTTGAAGATGTAGCTTTAAACATTATGCTAACTCATGGTTTTTAGTCTAATGAGAACTTAATGGCTCTTATTTTACAATTCATTCTAAAAAACTATTTCAACCCAGAAAAAAAACACAAAAAATCTTTAAAATTTCGAAAAATATTTTTTCTTCTGGATAAAAATTAAAAATAAAATACAAATGATTAAACAAAAAAATCCGAAAAATTGAAACTGAATATTTTTTATTTTCAAGATATAACTTTGAAAAGATCAACGGATCCCTATGTTTAACTGTTATGCTTTTATAGAAAAAAATTACTTTTTAATTAAGTTCTTTTTAATTTCAAAAAAATGTCGTGACTTCCATTTACTTTACAAATGTATGTAACATTTGTGAAGAAAATGATTCCACCTGGTTCAAAAATTTTTTTTCGAACCGATCACAGAACTTCATTATGAAGTACACAGTTATGGTTTTTTACATTTATCCTTAAACCAGAATTATCATAATATTTATGTATTTACAATAGCTCAATGTGACTACACAAATTTTCTCATTAGATACATCGTTACGGCCTTAGGTGGGTGTGGAAAGAAGAAAATGAAAAAACCAATGGTGTATATAATAAGCCCAGGATTCATCGTCCGTCGCGATAAACTACAAACAGAGATCTAGGATATATATAAGCTCAGTCCGCTGCTCATCGTCCAAGATCTCTTTCTCACTCTCTTTCTCTGCTCTCGCGACCTTGTATGCGCTTGTTGCTGTTTGTAACAACGACGACTGCAGTGCATCAGCAACGCAGCACTAGTAGTAGTAGTAAGCGACGACATGTCGATAGCAGACGGCGTGCGATATACACGTACCGATAACACTATTGCACGACCAAAGACCTGTATTGCTGCTGCTCGAGCCTACAAGCCCCCCCCCCCCCCCCCCCNCCCCCCCCCCGCTTGACGTCGTCGTCATTGCCCTTTCAACCCTTACACACGAGCATCGCGATCATCGATTTCTCCTATATATAGGTATCATGTACGAACTGGCACATAATGCTGAGAATCGGCTTCTCTTGTCCACGTATTCACCGTAAACTGCTGTACACCGCTTACAGACGTATAGATATATGTATAATATACACGCGTGCAGCGTGTATAAGCGTAGCCAACGGACATTCAATTGCACAATACGTATTACGCGAATGTGCAGTGCCCCTATAATCCGCGCTGATATCATCTCGGCTCGACCAAGTTCTGCTGACTTTTTTTTTACGTTTTCTTTCATTTTTCTTCACATTTTTTGACCGCGGCACCGACTCGATTTCTGCAGTGTACCGTATCGGCTTGCCATATTGCATCGCCATTATATATTTTTAACTCTGTAGGTGGAATTTGTAGAAAAATAATCTCTCCGCTGTATTGGTCCTCGTGCCGTGCACAGTATTGCGATCTGTTACAATGCGAATATAATTGCGCGAAATTCCGAAATAATATTGGAGAGATTTGAAAATAAGATAATGAGCTATATGGAGTCGACCAGCGACGTATCGTTCGATAATTTTTTTTAACGAATTACGAAAATTCGACCCATGGAAAACTCTATAGTTTCAACTCAAGTGTATTCGCAAAGAATATTCGCAAAGAACGACTAAGTCGCTAACCAAACGCGGTACCACCCCGTTAAATGAATTCTTAATGCGCGGGGGGCAATGAGATAAAAAAAAAGTCGACCGACTTTCTTATTCTGGCGAATTGTGTCCGTTTGGTCGTTTTATCGGATGGTTTTTGTCCGCGTTACTATTTCATCAAGCCGATCGACAAATAACTCTGCCGCTTCTTTTTACCTCATCCTCAGCTGCTCAACTTGCTCATGAACAAACTGTATCGGCGTTGACTTATCTTTTTATGATTATGAAAAAGCAATTTTCACATCAACTTGATTAATTTTTTTTATTTATCATTTTTAACTATCGGAAAAGCGATTTATTTCCAATTTAAGTAAAATTTTATGCATTGCTTGAACAAACTAACAAAAAACGACTTACCTCAAAATTTTTATAAATATTTTCCTCGCGCATTTGGTGAAAATCTGTAACAAACACTTAAAGAAATGTTAGTTTTCAAAATTATATACATTTTACTAGTCAAATAGTGACTATGTTAATCATTTAATCCGAGTATATTTCACTCGAAAAATAAATAAAATTATACGTCAAATTTTTATGCGGACAAAAAGTAGCCAAACCAAACAGGGAAAAAATAAATCTACGGTGCTAAATCGTCGATAAAGAAAACCCTCATCCCTTTTGGAGAGAAAAAAAATAGTTTTTCTCATACTCAACGACTGACGAACACGTTGAGCTCTCCTGGCTCTGCAGCACTCAACGGTTTCTTACGTTTCACGTTCTCATTTCTACGTGCGTACGTATAAAAGAGAGAGAGAGAGAGAGAGAGAGAGAGAGAGAGAGAAGATCCGTTGGCCGGATCGCCTAAGTGTATTAGACTTTTCCTCGTTCACGTGTGAGCTTTAGCCCTGCGCGGCATGGATAAAGCGCAGAAAAAGGACAGAGAAAGAGAGAAAAGGAGAAAGTGAAAGAAAACGATCGCAATTTGCGCGTGGATCCGATCTTGGCCTGCGACTACTACTACTAGTACTACTACTACTACTATTCCCCGCGTGTGTGCAAGGAAAAAAGACGTTGAACTCGTGGTGTAGGTGGCAGTGAGTCGTCAACGCGAGTCGTCGATGGGCCGACCACCATATCGGCGTACCAACTACTGCTGCTGCCGCAGTCCTCGTCGTCGTGCCCTGCTAATGGCACCCTCGGGGTATAGCCCCGCGCACATGTAAACGCGCCTGTGTATACTCCTAGGATATATACCTACCCTCATATTTATTATTTAGCAAAATGGTAGAGCGAGAGAGAGAGAAAGTGAGAAGGGGTATGAGCTGTATACGCAAGATGCACAAGAACGTATTTGCGAGTGTGCGCGGGTGCTCAAGGATTTATCCACGAGCGTCATGAATCGTTTTTGTCGTTTTTCTCTCTTTCTTTGACTTGCTAACTCACTTTTATGGTTCTGCTCCGTTTCTATACAGGCGTGAGAAATGAAGAATACGGCAAAAGCATAGTACTAGGAGCAAGATGCATTAATTTACAGGCAATTGAAAATTATTTGTCGTTGAAGAACCTACCGTGCGTGAGTGGAAACTATATTTATAGGAATACTTTTTTCAATGACCAAGATCTGTCAAACGCTTCATCGTGCACGAAGCAAAAGAAAATTTATAAGGAATTATATCAGTTGCGTACAATTTTTAAAATAATTAAGAAGAGAGTTCCCTAATATTCGTAAAATAAAAGTGATTAACTTTTATAGAAAATGGATGGATAAAAATCAACCCGAGCACGTTCCACTTTTCCCCCAAGCGTATTCTTCGAATCTCGAAGGATTAATAAATCACTTTTAACAATATAAAAGAAATCTCACACAAGTAAAACATATATTTTCATTATAAGAAATAACAAATAAGACTATTGATCGTCCAACCTGAAATATGGTGAGGCAATTTTATCTGATATCTACTGAAAAATATTTTGAAAAAAAACGAATTAACTCAAAGAACAATGTTTATACAGTTTAAAGCAGAAAAAGTGCAATATAAAAAAAGAAAATGCTGTCTGGGAACATTCTTTTTTTGCGTTGGTTTTACCATACCCTCGAACAGAAATGAAAACAGGCGTAAGTACGAAAATCCAACGTAGCAAATCCATTAGCGAAAAAATATTTTGGCATCTGAGGCCATGCATGCTTGACCGAGAACAGCTGCGATACATTATTGATACTACGTTTATTCCGATTTGACGAATCACCATTCGTATAATATAAAACTAATGGTCCGCGAATTTGCGGTTCTGCTGCTGCTATAACAGAACGAAAAAATTAAAGCACGTATGTCAATATAAATAAAAAGAACAATATAATCAGAGAGTGGCTATTTAAAACATAATTTTTGATTTTTATTAGATATGTGAAATTTAACTAGTCAAATAAATTCAAAACATAATTTTTTTTGTCGCAAAAATTAATTCAGTAATTCGTACTGAGCAAAAGCATTTTTTAATAAAAGCAGTCAATTTTTTCGGATTCTATATTGAATGTTTTCTACACGAGAATGAGAAGATGAAAACAACTGCTAGTGACATCTATCTCTCCATACAAGAAACCTGATGTTTTCTTTGATGATCAACTGTGTGCTATCCTCAGAAATCATTTTTACCGACAATTGGTATTGTGGAGAATTCAAATTTATCTTTTCTTTTCTTGTACTTTATTTTGATGAATATGTCAGCGTGTACGAAATTGATGGTCCCCGACGAAATCTGAACGGTGGGTGGCCGTAAATTAAGAGAACTGTAAAATTTGAAAAATCGAGGAGCAAATTTCATATTAATAATTGAAAACATCATGCGACGGTTGAAGAAAATTTGAAATGTATACGTACTTATCACTTTTTCTTGCGCTCATAGAGCGGGTTTGAATGATATTTATACATTCATTTTTCTTGGCTTTAAATTTTTTTTTCTTTATCTGACCGGGATTTCTCTTATAAATTTTCGATTCACTTTTGACAAGTGCTCTATTCACCTCCAAGTCTTCATACAGTGAACTGGAATTACTCAAAGAAATGAAATCGCTTTTGGGTGTTTCCTCTGATTTATTAAGCGCTTCATTCATCTTTAAGTCTTCATTCAGCAATTTGGAATCGATGCCATCTTTCTCATATTGATCCTCCAAGTCATTTGATTCTTTAAACTCCTCTAAGTCTTCATACAGCGTTCTGGATACGTCCAGATCAAGGAAATCCTCACTTACAGAACGATTCATCTCACACAATTCGAAAATATTTGTAACGTATTTCCCGAAAACTTCGAGTCTACTGACGACGAGCTAACTAAGTTGTTATGATTAAGTCCGTTGATTTCGAGCGCTAGAACTAAGTGTTTATATTTGATCGTTCGATTAAGTATAGCAGAAGACATCAAAGATCGGAAAGGTTAGCTGCCAATAGGCGATTTTCTTCAATTTGGCTCTTTCTATAATAAAGTAATAATCAATGTTTAAAATAGTATGTTAATAGTTTATAAATCGTATAAGCGCAAAGTTAAAAGAGAGTATCGATTCGATGATCAAAATAATCCATACATGTAAACCTGTATGTTATTTTTGCAAAAAAGCAGACGAATCCTTTTAGGTTAAATTCTAATATGGTCATTTCACATGTACACTGAAACGGCGAACGAGTGAGCCGCACACAGCGTCGTGAATACGACACTCAAACTGCCGTGGCGCTGCTAACTAAACGTCATCGTGTGCTAGATACTCGATGGTCGAGTAACCGTCCCGCGCCACACGTGTGATTCTCCCGCTTTAAAGACAAAGCACGACACACACTTTTGCAAGAGTTTTAAAGACTCTGAAGTATCGTGCAAAAACATACGATTGTATCGTGAGTTGCATTTCTGCAAATCTTTATCGCACTGCTGTTATTATTGTTGCTATATACGTGTATATATACGTGTATACATAATCATCGTGTATAATTATTAAGTTTATTCAGTGCCGCGTGCGTTATTTATAAATCTAACCAACAACTTCGATCTGAATTGGTGATTGTTTCAAAATACTCCTGTATTAGTCTCCAGCATGGATTCTTTTGAAAAAGAATATCCAGATTTGGCAGATGTTTGCAAACACTTTTGGGGTAAGTAAGCATAAATATAGGACTAAACTTCTTACATCTATAGCCTTTATTTTTTTCATTTTAATCTTTCTTAGATTGCGGAATAGAGTCAGAGCAATTTTACACAGTTGAAATTTCAAATATTGAGTCACTTTTAAAGCCTTTCTCAATAAGTAAAAAAAATTCATTTATCTCATCTTATTTTTTTGAGAAAAATTTACATTTGGATAGAAATAGTGAATCCTCTTCAAATACTAACAATAATATTATAAATAATAAGAGACCACATTCACCAGAAGATACTATTGTAGCAGAAATTGATAATCCCTGTAAGCGATCAAATTTAGAAACACCAGTGGAAGGTTTTAATTTTTTTTTCCATCTCTATAGATTATTTTTAATTTTTGTTGTTGATCTGATTAAAGTATGTATTACAGAACCATTTACTTTTAAAAAAAATGAAATTTATTATTTAATTGAGGGCAGTGACCAAGGGAATTTTATTTTGAGAAAATATGAAAAATTTGGAAAAGTCGACTTTTCTAAAGTTATTCCCATTGTTATATACAGATACATTAATAAAGACCCTCTGTTTTATATGTAAGTCACTCCAGGCATTATATATTTAAATGTTGTCACTAACGTAAAGAAAATAAACTTATTTTAAAGTTTATATTAAATGTTTAATATTTATTAGCAGTATTTTTCTTAATACTTGACAGGATTTCAAGTCAAGTATGTAAAACCAAGGGATGCTTTGCCAAATCAACAACTTTGAAATTTACTCTTCAACTACTTTATGTTAAAAATAGACCTTTTCTTACTAATTGTAGATTAAGAGTTTCATTTCTATGTGTACTCTCTATTATTTAACTGTGATTTTTATGCTTTAATTCTATGTAAATTATAATGTATGTGTAGAAAACTTTTGTAGTGATTTGAACTTACAAATTTGTTCATGTTTAATAAAATAGTTTTAATGTAATCAATTGCAGAATAACTACTCCTGTTTTCGTGTGGTTGCGTGATCAACTGGCTGAAGTTTTCCCAACCACTGAAAAAGATTTGTGGTACATAGAACACGCCAAAAGCACCAGCACCACCTTGGAAGTATCTGAGGGAGGAAAATTGTATTGGTCCTATAAAGAAGTTAGAAGAAAGTATCGAAAAGTAGGAATTATCGTCGACGACGACGACGACATTGAAGAAAATGCCACTGATAAAGCAGCTTCAATAAGTACAGAGTCTGCCAAAAAACGTAAGTTTTAAAAATTGGTCATGTACTTCAAATTGTTACATGAATATTTTGTATCTTTAGTTTGCTAATATACATGCATTTATTTTTATCTAATTTTTATCTAATATTTTCAAACACGCATAAAAATGACAATGTATAATAAATTAATATTTTATTATGTATTTTACAGAGCTTTTTGCTTCATTTTACGACTGCTTGATTGATGCCGATCGAGAAAAGTATAACGACGTTATAGTTTCAGCAAGGTGGACAGACACTTTCAAGCAGAGGATCGATTTGTTGTGTAAAAAAGAAGGAAAAAATTTCCTATTAACACCGACACTTTATGTTCATTCGTTTAAATGCCTTCTAGATCACTCGTCAATATCATTGGTAATCTACCACTTTATAAAATATAGATCTTTGAATTGTTTACAAATATTATAATTATTATTATGTTACATGGTCTCTTGCAGTTGGTATCTGATTTTGAGACTATAATTAACGAATTTTATATTTCTACTAAAATAACTACCGAGTTTTATGCAAGAAGTGAAACTTTTTTTGAAACTCAATGGCCAATCATCGCTGAAAAATTTATGGCAATTGTGAAAGTTGCCTCTGGCCAAAACATAAAAAATTTCAAGAAAAAGCACCAACCTTTAATAGATGCAGGTAATTAATTTATTTCATGTAAATATTTGATAATCGATGTCAGTGCATCTTTATAATTATATCTGTTTGCTTCATTTGTACAGGTAAACATGACAATCTATTGGCTCTTTTCGCTTTGCCATGGTACTTGAACAACACTCACGAAGGGATCACTAGAAAGCAAGCTGCAGATGCTTTTTTTCTACATCTTAAGGTAAGCTTCTCTACCCATACTTTATTCTAATTTTCTTCATTCTTATTTTTAATTACACAAATACTTTTTTACAGGATGATTCAAATTTAGCTGTAGATAGGGAGAATCACGAAAAAACTCTAGAAAAACTTTCTATTAGGATACCTTTGTATGTAATTTTATGTGGAACGATTGAATCAATTTCAAAATCTTATCTTGTATTTAATGGAACTATTATAAGTTATTCTAATCCGTTCAAAGCTATTTTAACTTGCATTAAGTGTCAAGCAGCTCTGCGTTCATGGCCCATTGCCTGTGAGCCAATTCATGCTTTTTTTCAATTTATTATCTATAAGATACCGATGAATAAGAGCTTATTTTTTGTCTATAAGACTCATGCTGTGACAAAAAACTTAATTGAAAAATTGCAAATAAATAAGAAATAAGGTTTTTTTTCAAATGTTAATTAATTTTTAAATTAAACATCACATCCTTTTGAAACATATGTACAGATATAATAATACAGATTTGTATTTTATCAGATGTAAATTTCATTTTTAAGTAAAAATCACGTATTTGTTAAATACAATACAAAAATAATACAAATTTGTATTCTATTGTTATTATTTATAGCCCTATCTTTGAATCTTTATTATCATGGATCTTTTTTTCTTAATCAAAGAACTTTTAATTTTTATTTTAAATATTTATGCAGATTCTAACTTGCCTAGATCGGTTGTTGATACCGTGATTGATTTTTTTGATAAATTTAATCAAAATCATTTCATACCATCTCTTCGAGCAGATATTTTAGAAGCATTAGAAAATGAACAATTGTCAGAGAGAACTAAAATGAAGTTAAATTCCGTTTTTGACGATTATAAAACGTTGTTTGTTCCACTTAATACAGAGGATAATAGATTCAATTTATTACGTAAAATCAATTATCGTAATCCGCAGGTTCCTGAGATAGGAAATGTATTAGAAAAAAAATCGGAAGGGAATCACACTTATGTTAGTTTCGACCCAGTATTTGCTCTTGTGATGCCTTTAAAGATCACTTTAAAACATTTTCTGGAAATTCCAAATGTTTTTAATTCCATAATGGAATATAGATCCAAATTACTTGAGGAAAATAATCCCCTTATTATAAAAAATATTATTCAAGCTGATTTATTCAGGCAAAAATATATCCCAAAACATTGTCAAGATATTGTGATTCCATATTTCATTTATTTTGATGAATGTGAATGCGGAAATGCACTGGGCAGCTGTGCAGGTAAAAATAAAATGTCAGCGGTCTACTCTCAAATAGCGTGTCTACCTCCTAGTATTGCTTCTCGTCTATGTGCGATTTTTCTTAGCTTATTAATGCATTCTAAACAGCAGAAAAAGCTTTCGAACAGGGAGACCTTCCATAAATTGGTCGATGAGGCTAATGACCTCAGGCAAAATGGAGTGAAAATCTGTGTTGATTCTAAATCGTTCGTAGTTAAATTTGAATTGCTATTGGTGTTAGGTGATAATTTAGGCTTGAATGATATTTTTGGTTTTACGAAATCATTCACAACCGATTTTTACTGCAGAATTTGTAAACTCACTAATGAAGAAGCTAGCCTCGCAACTATTGAAGTAAAATCAAAAATTCGAAAACGTGATGATTATGATTTAGACGCTAAAATAAAAAATGTCAATGAATCCGGAATAAGAGAAGCTTGTATTTTCCACGAAATTCAAAACTTTCACATCACGGAAAATACAAGCATAGACATTTTGCACGATTTCTTGGAGGGCGTGTGCTCTTATGATATACATCAAATTTTAAAAGTTTTTATCTTCGATAAAAAAATTTTTAAATTGAACGACCTCAATGAACAAATAGAATGTTTTGAATATAAACACACTGGTTGTAACAAACCACCACCAATAAAAGAGAATCATCTAAAACAACGGTTCAATTTAAAAATGTCCGCTTCCGAAATTTCATGCCTCACACGATACTTACCTTTATTTATTGGACATTTCGTGGAAGAGGAAGATGAGCATTGGCAATTATTTATTTTACTTCGCCGAATTTTTGATATTTTAGCATGCCATTTTGTTCGACGAGATAATGAAAGTTATTTGCAATCATTGATCGAAGAACATCATGAGCTTTACATTAAATTATTCGGTCCTTTAAAGCCCAAACATCATTTTTTAATACACTATCCTCGATTATTGACACTATTAGGACCATGTGTCAATTACTCGACCATGCGTTTCGAGTCACGTCATCGACCGATCAAATCCGTAGTAACTTCTACAAGCTGCAAAAAAAATCTGTTGTACACAATTGGAGTAAAAGAGCAATTGCGTCTGTGCCAAATCATAAATAATCAGATTTTTATAGAAAATGAATCAGATAGAGAAGATTGCTTCAATATGCTAAAAATTGAGTTAGAAGGCATTAACTATGAAGTAGGAATGTTTTTACCAATTAATATACAACAGCATAATAAATTATTTGGTAAAATCATAAATATCGTAAGAATCAATAAAAAATGTTATTTTACTATGGAAACTTACGAGGAAAAAGATTTTGATTCGCACTACTATGCGTACGTGGTGCGGAGAGTGAACGAAGATCTGTCAATTTTTTCCAAGAAAATATGTTCCGAAACTACCGGAATATTATTTAAAAAATACTGCGGTGAAAAGTATGAAAAATTACTATGTTTCCCATCTGCTATTTAAATTAATTTTTCTATGTATGACTAAATGTAAGATTTCGAAATAAAGATCTAAAATTCTACAGTAAGATTGAAAAAAGGGGTTTGTTTATTTACAACTAAAATTTATGCATAAATACATATTTATGTAATATTAATATTCATAATGTATTAGCCGATGAACTACATATAAATACTTAAACAATATGCGTCTAACATAATAAATTTTAAGTATTTAAAAGAGCAAACTCAAGGCTCTCCGGTAATATCGCATCCTCCTTGTATACACCGTTTGGTACTCGATTCATCGTGTGTACAGCACACGACGCAACGAGGGAACAGTCCCGCCACCAGTCCGAGTGACCTATACTCGAATTATGACGAGACAACACTCGATATCGATGTTCCGAAACTCGAGAGTGCTCGAGTATCTGCGCGCTGATCGTCGCGTGACTAGTGCTCGTTCGCCGTTTCAGTGTATAAAACGAATTCGCACAAATTTTCATAAAAAAGTGAACTTGCAGCAGAAAAAAATATAATCCAAAAATAAATTTATCTTTTCGTATTTTCATATTTATAATAATGAAAATTAAAATAGTTTTCGTAATTATAAATACTTTTTCAGAGTGAAGCTGGAACTTGATAATATAGTATGACAGTATAGTGATACAGTACGAAAAAAATACTTCATTTCGAAGGACATGGTTACCTACATCCCTACCATGAACTGGAACTACAAAAAACACATTATAGGAGTCGGTCATGTGGTAAGATTTGCTATTAGTACAATAATATTTATTCTTTTTTCACTTCTAATACTATAATATATCTTTTCAGATGACTCAGAATCGTGATTTTCTAAAAAATCAAGAAACATTAGATGAGGAAATCATATGCGAATTCGAAAGCAAAGAAGTAAAACCTGAATTGTATAATATATTAAAATCCGATGAATATAATGAATCTTCGGACACATTTGAACAAAAAAGCACTTTTATTCATAACATCGATTCAGTCTAAAAACAAATGCAGTCGTATGAGCGTAATTTATGGGAAAGGTCATTTGTGGATAAGAAAACACTTGAAAATCTCATTAATCCGATAAATAATGAACTACATCGGTACCAATGTGATATGTGTAAAAAATCATTTTGGCAAAAGTAACATTTTGAAGTTCACAACGGTACGATGCACGAGCAACTGACAACCTTCAATTGTGTTAAATGTCCAAAGATATATATGCAAAAGTTTTATATGAAACAGCACATCAATAAAAATCACAATCGACTTAAACTCTTCAAGTGTGATTTATGTGAAATATCATTTTGGTACAAAAATCATTTTGAACTTCACAACGATACGATGCACTATCAGTTAAAGTCGTATAAGTGTGATAGATGTCCGAAAAAATTTAAACAAAAGTATTCCATGAAGATGCATATGAATAAAGTGCATAATAAACCGAAGCCCTTTCATTGTGCTAACTGTCCAAGAGCATTTGTACGAAAGTGTTCCATGGAACACCATGCCAATAAAACACACAATCGACCTTAACCGTTCAGGTGTGGTTCATGTGACACGGCATTTAGATGTGAGAAATCGCTCAAAAAGCACATCGAGTGTGTGTATAAAAAATTAAAGCCGTATAAATGTAATTTATGTGAAAAAGCGTTTGCAGAAAATAAGAGGCTTCAACGTCACATTGATACGTTAAATAATAATCTAAAATCGTATAAGAGCAATTTATGTAAAAAGACATTTGGATATAAAAAGACACTCAAAAATCACACTAATTGGGCGCATACACAATTGAAGTCATACAGGTGCGATTTATGTGAAAAAACCTTAACGCGGAAGAATCTTTTGACAGTTCATAACGATTACGTCCATAATCAACTGAAACCATAGAAGTGCAATTTGTGTGAAAAGACATTTGGATATAAAATGGAGCTCAAAAATCACATTGATTGGATGCATAAACAACTGAAGCCCTATTAGTGCGATTTATGCCGGAAAGCATTTGGAGAGAATGGTAATCTCGCACGTCACATTAATTCGGTGCATCAAAAAATTAAGCCATATAATTGTGATTTATGTAGTAATTCTTTTGGAAAAAAGGCTCATTAAACAGTTCACAGATATACGGTGCACAATCAACGGAATGAGTGTGATCGATGACTGGAAAAATGTATGCAAAAGTATTTTATGAAGTAGCATATCAATAAACGTTGCAACCAACTCAAGTCATTCAAGTCTGATTTAAAGTATAATTACGAATGGATGTAGATACAAATTTGAACTTTTAAAAGTCAAATTTCATTGATGCATAATTAGTTCAAGTTTCATCAATGAATTTACGCTCAAAATCATTGGAGAAAATGATTATTAAATCATCATCGTTAAAAGCTATCATCATTATTAAAAGCTTTAATAATGCGGTAAAATCTGAAATCATTTGAACGTAAATATCGTGTCATCAGTGATGTGATACACAACCAACAGAATAAGTGCAATTTATATAAAAAAATGTTCACAGTTAAGTTTGCGGATACCGACCCGCCGACCATAAAGATTAAAGCCGTGATTGATGCCTAAAATATTTGAATGAAAGGATCATCTCACAGTTTACATCTATACGGTACACAATTAACCTAAGCATTTAAATATTTAACCCATATTGATAAAAAGGACCTATCTTCAAATCTCACATCGCGCGTCTTTTTTTCTTCCTAGCCCCCCCCCCCCGGAACAATTCTCAGATGCAAATTTTCGTAGATGCAAATCTTTCAAGTGTAAAAATCCTTTTTAAATATATTGAACACTTTTAAAAAAATTTTAATGCATTGAAATACTATAAGATATTCATGCAACTTTCAAATTCAAAAGATCATTTAAAAAGTGTACACGGAACTTCTTTGTAGGTTTATTTTCATGTCACTTAGTGCTGAGTTGGCATTATTTTTTTTTACTTTTCTCTGTATCTTGTTATTTAATAGACCATTTATAATGTTTATTTTAAATGTTACATTTAAATTTTTAAATAAATTTTAAATATGTTTTTTTTTGGAAAAGTTTATTTAGATAACTATTTATTTAAATAATTTTGTTTTTCGTAGTATCAGTCACTTTTTCAGCATCAAAGAGAAATTAGCTCGTATGAAGAATCAGCTACTACTAACATTAATGTGTTGTTCGGAGTTCTACTGTGAGGTCATCTTAATTTTTCTAAGAAAACTCATCATACCGTTGTTTGGTAATGAGCAAACTGTGAATTGTCGGTTAAGCTTTACTTTTCAAAAACTTCATCTTGATGAACATCTACTCGTGTCATGGTAATTTGACCAAAATATAAAGATGGCCCTCACCAACACTTTCAGGCTTACAATCAATTGTAACATATGAGGAAACGAGGAAGACATTCCATATTAATTATTAATGACATTATGAGACAGTTGCAAAAATTTTGAAATTTATGCGTACTTACCCTTCTCGGTACAAATCGTTTGATGTTCACACTTTTTCTCTTATCTTTTCGTAGTCTTTGCCTTTTTCTTTTTGTTTTGGATTTTTTTTTAGATTTCCTTCCTCCGATTTAATTAAATCATTCTCGAAAATATGCGAATCGATGTCATCTTTCTCAACTTAATTCTCCAATTTTTTAAATTCTTTAAGCTCTTCTAAGTCTTCGTACAGCGATCTGGAAACGTCCTGATCAAGGAAATCCTCACTTACAGAACGATTCATCTCACGCAATTTGAAAATATTTTTAACGTATCTCTCGTAAACTTTTAGTCGACTGTAGGAAAATTCCTCTTCGTGGCAATTAAGTGACAAGAAACTTCTTGAATATATTATTATTTTTACAAAGAATTACTCAAGACTGGAATTATGTGATTCAAAAAAAAGTTCAAATTTATCAAAAGTTTTGTAAATCATTTTCAATAGTTTTGTAATTCAATTAATTTAAATCCATCAATCTTATTTAGTTATCGATAATCTGAATAATATTTGCTCATTTATTTTATCCTTAAAAAAAAGTTGAAAATCGGAATCGATTCTTCGATTCTTTTTCACAATAATCGATTCTTGAAAAACGATTCTCTCAGGAATCGGCCGTGAAGAATCGATTCGATTCTTAGTGGAATCGCACATCCCTACTCGACTGACGACAAGTTGTTATGATTGAGCCCGTCCGTTGTCGAGTCCGTTGACTTCGAGCGCTGGAAATTAGTGTTTGTTTACGATCGTTCGATTAAGCTATAAGCAAACATCGGTGATCGGAGAGAGTAGAAGACTGTGATAGATTCTCTATAATTTAGCCTCTTTCTAATTTTATTATTTATAAAGTAAGAATGACTGTGTACAATATAATATAATTTTAGTGTGTAAATTTTATTAGAACTTAATTAAAAGAGACAGTCGATTCGACGATCAAAATAACCCATACATGTATACCATATTGTTTTTGCAAAAGAGCAGACGATAATATCATGGTTAATTTTGGCAGCCGGATCCCCGTTAGGTTAAATTCTAAAATGGTCATAATATGTATTATACAAATTCACGCATATCGATTTTTGCAGATAAGTGGGCTTGCAGCAGTGAAAAGGCTGAATTCAACAATCAACTCAACTTTTCATTAAAGTAATAACTGTTAATTTTATATTTATTACAATATAGTTTGAACTATTTCGTGTAACTTACATTACTATTTCAGTATAAAACAAGAATCTGATGATACAGTGGAGAACGATCAAAATATTTCATTTCAAAGGACTAAATTTTGTACGCCAACACTATGAGCTTTCAAAATCACATTGTAAGAGACGGTCATGTAAGGTTTATCAATAATGTGAGAATATTTTTCTTTTTTTTTTACAAATAATTGTACATAAAACAGTCTATATTTTTACAGATGACTCGGAGCAGTGAATTTACAGAAAAGCAAGAAACATTCCAGGAGAAAATTATAAGCGATTCCGGAAGAAAAGATGTAATACCAGACCAAAAATTAGATTATAAATTAAATTCCGATGAATGTGATGAATTTTCCAGAACAATTGAGCAACTACGTACTTTTATTCAAGACATCGATGAGGTCCAAAAACAACTGCAGCCGTATCATCGTGATTCATGTAAAATGTCATTGAAGCAAAAGAGTAATTTAAGAGTACAAGGGAGTACGGAATACAATCAATCGAAGCCGCACAAATGTGATCTATGTACGAAAACATTTAAGCGAAAGGGTTCTCTGAAGCAGCATGTCAAAGTGCACGATATACTGAAGCCCTTTCATTGTGTTAAATGTCCCAAAACATTTATGCGAAAATGTTCCTTGGAGCAACATACCAACAAACAGCACAATCGACCCAAGCCCTTCAGGTGTGATTTATGTGGAATGGCCCTTGGATATAAAAAGACGCTTAGAAATCATATTGATTGGGTGCATAAACAACTGAGGCCATATAAGTGTGATTTGTGTGAAAAGTCATTTGGATATGAGAAGACACTTAAGAATCACATCGATTGGGTGCATAAAAAACTGAAGCCGCATAAGTGCGATTTATGCGAAAAGGCATTTGGATGTAAGAGCACACTCAAAAATCACATTAATTGGGTGCATAAACAATTGAACGGGATCAAGTGCGATCTATGTCCGAAAATATTTGGATTAAATTCAAATATGAAGCAGCATATCAATGTAAAACACAATCCACTCTTTCAGTGCGATATTTGTGACAAGTCATTTGGATATAAGAAGATGCTCAAAAATCACATTGATTGGGTGCATAAACAACTGAAGCCATATAAGTGCGATTTGTGTGAAAAAACTTTTACGCGGAAGAGTCTTTTGTCAGTTCACTTTGATTCCGTCCATAACCAACTGAAGCCGTATAAATGTGAACTGTGCGAAAAGGCATTTGGTTATAAAAAGTCGCTAAAAAATCACATTGATTGGATGCATAAACAATTGAACAGGTATTCGTGTGCTGTATGTGGAAATTCGTTTGGACGAAAGGGTCTCTTAACAGTTCACAAGAACATAGCGCACAATCAAATGAAACCATACAAGTGCGATTTGTGCGAAAAGGCATTTGTATATCAAAAGCCGCTCAAAAATCACATTGATTCGATGCATAAACTACCGAATACTGATGCCGTATTAGTGTGATTGATTTCCGAAAAAATTTGAATTAAAACAACTTTCCTCATAGTTCCTTTATATGGTGCATTATCAGTCGAAGCACCATCGATGTGAGACATGATCCAAAATCAATTATGCGAAATCATCTCACAGTTCTTATCCTCAGATATGGCCTATAAACGACTGAAGTCCTACGAGTGTAACTTATGTAAAAGGACATGTTCATATGTTCATAGAGTAGGTCTGTGGTAAAAATCGTTACGTTCTTTGTTAAAAGACTCTCAGAGTCAAACTATATTTATTTTCAAATTTTTTTCTGTAGTTATAACAATTTTTGAAACAGAGTATCATAAAGATTACCTGATTCTATAACCAAAAAACTAACTTCTATAATCTGTCTCTTAGGCACTTTTCCCTACAAACCTAGAATTTTTTATTTAAATTTCTCTTCGTGTACCTGTATCGATACAGTCCATAAGAGTTAGAGTCATATCAGTGTGATAAATGGTAAAAATTATATGAACGAAAGGCTCGTCTCGCAATTCAGAGCAATGAGCCGCATAATCAGGTATTACAATTAAAAAGCCTAGTTTTAGATGTAAGTCAACAAATTGTTTAATGTTAGCCACAAATTTATTACGTTAATAATGCTTATAAATATATACTAGATATATAAAATGTAAAACGGATAAATAAGTTCATAAATGTATACATATGTCCATAAATGGATAGATATGTCCTGTACATGTATTTAACAAAAACTAGTGATTTATAATATCAATACTTATTATTATAGAAGAACCGTTTGAATGTGGCAATCAATTTATTACTTTAATAATCCTTATAAATATATACTAGATGATTATAAACAAAATAAAAAACGGATAATTCAGTCAAATATATTTAAAAAAATATTGCTTTATAGTATCCTTCCATTTATATGTATTTGACTTATATCTATTATAGGTAGGATTCATCCCTGATATTGTTCCAGATCAAGGTCTGTGGGGTTTCTGCCCTTTAAATAGAAATCAATTAAAGTGATATTTTAAAAGGAAGATGTTGACTAGCAGGACAATACTTCAATATTCCAGAACTTAAAACATAATAAACATTTATGATACTTATCCATGTGGCAAGTCATATTCTAAAAGTTAAAAAATTTACGAATAGAAGATCAGCATTACGAAGTCTTTTTATAAAACCCATTAAATTATCTTTACCTATTCATAGATGCTGCACACGACGAATATAACGCAACGCTATATGCATCATTGTTTCAAAGATTGCTAGATGAAACGGGGAAAAAAGTAAAAACCGCGAGGTACATTATATAAAGTCGAAGCCCGCAAACGATTTGCACGCGGGCCCGCAAGGGACATTATAAGGTCGCCCGTAAGCTCGTCGGCGTCCCTTTTTTACCCATTTGAGCACATCTCGCGGTATTATGAGTTCTGTCTTTCTCTTTCTCTCGTTGCTGCATATAATATTTTGCGCGATATGCAGTCAGCTCTCCAAACTCCAACAGAAAGTACAGACTGGGGCCCTTGGCACGCACTGTACTTATTCTCCGATGTAGCAAACTCACTGGTGCACACCTCACGTTAAATGTACTTGGCTGATTCTCTACCAAATTATAACGAAGACAGACAATGTTTTCTGATGATTGAACTGTGAAGTCCTTTCGTGTTATCGTTGATTCGAGATTTTATTAGAATTTTATTTCCTTTATTACGATGTTTTTCAAGTAGTTTATTTTGTTAATAAAAAAATTCCGTAGAATTATTTAGGTAAAACAATTTTGATTTCACGAAAGCTTTTTTGGTTTTTTCAATTTGACCCCAAGGAATTGCCAAAATTAGGTTTTGGTAAGGCAAAGTTGATCCAATCTTTAGGTAAATTTCGATTACTGTTGGCAGAAATGTTTACAATTGAGCAACTAATCAGATTAGAAACGTGCCGAGATTTTTATTAGTGGGTTTTTCTGGAAATTTAAACAATTTACATAAAAAAATATAAGTTTTGTATTTAAGGCTTATTTTAAAGTTTCTTGGCGCTGAGCTTGATCTTTTTTGAATTAGTAATATTTAAAAATTTTTAAAAAATGCAAGCTTTTAGGCCTGAGAAAAAGAGTGTTGGTAGATTAAAAAAATTCTAATAAAACTGGATTTTCGACTTGGAAATCTTGATAATTCAAATGCTGGCTCAATTTTCTGCCGTAGATTAATGCATGTAAATCCAGTGATTTTTTTCTCAACAGGTGCACCAGACTACAGGTTCAAAACGTTCAAAATGGGCCACTCGATTTTGCAGAGAATCGGCCGTATACACGTGTATAGTACACAACGTTCACTGCAACAGCATCGTCAGTTTTCTCCCTCTTCTTCTTGTTTCACGAGCAAAATATATACGCCGTGTATATCCCTCGGTGAATAAAGTATACTGCCCGAGCGACGATGGGGCTTCTCGTCGGTCTGATCGGCTATTCTCGGTTCTGCTGCTGCTGCACATCGCCGCTCGCGCTCTCCTGTGGCACCGAACAGTGGTGGGGATGCGTTAGACTACCAAACACACGCAGAGAAAGAGCAACGGATCAGCGGCGGCGGTGGCGGCAGCGGCGACGGTGGCATTCCGTAGAGGCCCGCCGCGAGCGCATGGACTCACGAGTCGGAGTCGCGCAGTGAAAAGGTGGCGGACTCATATATATATAATACACGTAAACGCGCGCTGTGTCTGTGGCCAAGATCGTCGCACTCTCCCGCAGTATACATACAGCGCAGAAATATACGTTAGCGCCTGCCTGTTGTATTATTATATATACATTGTGTCGCGCGATCGCGCGCGCGCTGTGTTGGTGTGTTGGTGCTGGTGTTGCATGCCAAATTTTTTTTTTGCGAGATACGTCGCGTGCGGTATTACTTCACGGCATTGTATGCAACGCGTTTGATCCACCCAAGTTTTTCGAGGCAGTTAGTGTCATTCAGTGTCGAAATTCTCCAAAAAATTGTGGCTATGGTAGCGATAATCGGTACGCTCGTGTAAGGCACAAGTTGTCGGAGTAACATCGCGCTCCTGCTGCATTATCATCATCATCATCGGGGGACCCTTTGGAATGCAACAACGTCCGAACTTGCTGGTATACACACAACGCACCTGAATGGTCAGCGCAGAGCAGTGAACGCGATGCTCGCATTTTCGAGCTTGAAACGTGTAGCAGCGAGAAGCTCGACGCTTATCACTCGATCTTTTTGCGAATAAAATAACAATATCAGCAGGAAGCTGCAGGCATCGAACCTCCGCAGTGAGTTTGTATATGATTTTTGTGCAGTGAGTGTGCTGTATGTGTGCAAGTGTGAGTGATACGCGCACACGCTTTTATGTCTGTGTGTGCGTACGAGTGTGAGTGTGTTGGTTGAGCAGAAAGAAATAAAAAAGAAAACAAGAAACAGCGCACCGTCAGGCATCAAAGGCAGGCAGGCAGGCAGGCAAGAGCACAGGAACGCATCTCACTCCTCTTGAATGAGAGAGACTGAGAGAGAAAGAAAGAAAGAGAGAGAGAGAGAGAGAAGAAGGGAAGCGAAAGATCTTTTCGTAACGGCGCGCGTCGTCGTATAAGCTACCTATATACCTACATAAAAGAGTATATATACCCACACATACACACTCACAAAACGCGAGAAGAGAAAGATCCTGTAATACAGCTGCTACTACCTCAGGTATGCGAGATCCTGCCGCCGCCGCTGCTGCTGCTACTGCCTGCCAATGGACCCCAATAATCAGCGGCCCTATATAGGTATATGGGCTGTATCGCAATAAGCGTGACCTAGGGTAGAGAATGAATTATCAACTATATAAATTGTTGCGTGCGGTATAAAAATATGAGAACCTTGTGAGCTTGGGTCGTCTTGGTTGCACATCTAGTGATATCTCGCTTTAGGATTGTATTCAAATTGATATTAAAAGCATTAGAGATTTCATTTTTAAATGGTGATTTGAAAATACGTAAGAATTACGTTTTAGTTGTCGATAAATAGTTTATTGAATCATATTTCTCTGATATTTTTCAAAATCTGTAATGAAATTTAAATCAAAATCAAGTTTTCTTTGATCCTATTTCGTTGACCTGCCTGCCAAACAGACTCATTTTTTACCTAATTCTTAGATCGTCTCGCTCGTTCTCAGAGATTATGCATCGAGTTGATACTTCATCATATACTTGAATCAAGCTCACACTTATCGAGTACTTGCGATACAGCCCGTGTACACATTCTCAGACATCCTAGCGCGTGTGTCTGTGCGTGTAGCTTCGTTCAATCTTTTCTGCACGCTGCACGAGATATAAAGTGCGGGTGCACACGCTCACATACGCGGCATGTCTGGCTGTCTCGTGTGTAGTACCCACTACCTGCCGTTCATTCGATATTCGCGCGCGTTTTCCTTCGCGCGTGCTCAGTCGTGGGAAAAATCGTTGCCCGTGATAATATTGACAGACAGCAGCTCCATACGCTCATACACACACACAAACACACATGTATATAACAGAGGATACGCACGTGCTACCCGCCTCGACGTATAATACACGTCCGGACTGTCAACTTGTTGCGCGAGTTTCGGCAGCCATTATTTACTCAATTAATAGCTTGTACGAATGCGTATTCGTGTGTGTGCATGTGTGCGTGTGTCAGTGTTGGTGTCAAACAATTGTCGATTTAATGAATTGAATAATAAGCAGTAGCTCCTCGGAAGGCATCGAGTAAATATACGGCGATACATACATATATTTAATAACGAAACGATCGTTAACCGGGCGCGTACGTTATATATTTCGCTTTAAATACGTTTGAACGCGGCAGTGCTAATACAGCATATACACCCAGACAGGATGAGAAGGAGTGAGTACATGGTGTAGGAGAGAGAGAGAGAGAGAGTGAAAGTCATAACTTACATGTCAGTGCGCTGCGTGGACTTGTAAAAATATATTATTGTCTTTTGACGACTAACCATAATCGTTATTCCGTTCTAGCATGTATGCGTGTGAGTGTACCTAATGCATTAAAAGCGTCAAGTGAGCATACAAACTCGCGCACAGACAGACGCACACACACGCGAGTGCGTAAATGTATATTTATTCAAGCCTTCTCCTGTCTCAGCGGGCCTGTAATTGGATAATAGCTTCATTGTTTCAACTATTGCCGCGCGCGCGCGCGCTGACCCTTTGCAAGCTGCTGCACTGCGCGTACTGCACTTATACGCGTACAGACTCCTTTTTTTCTCTTCGCTAACTCTTCGAGGGCCTGAATCATATTATAATCACGTCGTGACGGACGCAGCGCAGAGGATATGCGCCACACATGCGGATTTGATTAATCAGAGTCTCGAAACATACATTTCGTCGAAGCCTCGAAGAAACGCGTGGAATTTCTCTAATGTCTTGCGGAATTTTAACTCTCGATCGCCATTCAAATTCACATGTAAATTTTTGTTCATTGTGCGATGATGTGCGTGTATGTGCCGTAAGCGCGTGTGAAAATTGCGCAAGGCTTAATGAAGCCAAAGTGCCGAACTTGACGAGCTTCTCGTGTAGTATAAGGTCTATCGATGACTTAATGAAAAAAATAT